TGAGGTTACAAGTTTAATTGCAGCATTAAATAATGTGGGTCAGGCATGTTAGTTTTGTAGCCCAGCATAATGTCAGCAGTTACTGCATTCTTTTGTATCAGAAAAAAAATCCCTACAAATTGGTATCTGAATAAATCAGGTTAGCAGCAAAACAAATTAATTTCAACAACCATCTATAACAACCAAGAGAAAAAGAGAGACTGCTAGCTTGGTTTGTTTATACATTCAATGCATTATAAAAGCGGGCACACACATAACTTTCAAATATGAGCCAGAAGAATTTCCCTGCAGCCAGAATTAAAAAAAAAGGCAAAAAAAAATATACAGAAATGAAATGTATCGCAATGAACAAGTGAATTCTCAAAGCCAGGCTATTTTAAATGCATACAATGCATGGAATCTACGAGCAATTGTCATTTCAAAAAATCACTGTTCTCATCTAAAAGGCACAAAAGACAATTAAGCATATCACAATAAGAACTCAAACTATTTCGTATAATACTTCGTATTTTGAGAACGTACATGTGAAAGTTGACATCGTTGACTCCCCTGACAAGCACAAACAAAAATACAAAAGCTGTACAGTAGTTTTAAGTTGGTAGAAACCTTTTGCATGGTGTCAGAGAACAGGCTATTCAACAGAGGGGAAAAAAAGGATGTGCTTGTTTATCCGATTTTCATGAGGTTATGTTGAAAAAACTGACACAGGATTTTTTATATTATTATTATTACTCATAAGACAAAAATATCATTACTTTTCTAGTACTGTAGCCTGTATTGCTTTTTACACAGTCATGCTTCAACAAGCCATGAAATTCAGAGGATAAACATCCAATAGGTACAGTAGAAAAAACAATCTCTCACCTTTCAGCCAAAGATCTTTTATGGAAGCCTGGTGCATCTACATCTCAAATGTAGTACCCTTTACGTACACAAAGTAAATCTGGCAAAATAACTTCATAATTGAGTGTAACTCAGTGTTTGCAGCACACAGAAATGCTTAATAAGATCAATAATGTTTCAAAGCATTCTTTCAATTCGACTTGCAAATTGTGCATTTAAACATTTGAGATAAATTAATGGTGTTGTAAATGCTTTGCTTGACATGCAACAGTTTAAATCTTGGAGGCTATATAATAACTAGAGAAAATTTACAGACATTCAGTCCTGAAAATCACATTTAGGCTTCTAAAATTCAGCACACAGAGGTAAGGTGTGGACAGTAATTACCACCTTCTTTCTGGGCTGAAATCTCCAATGTATTTTTTTTGACAGTTACAGCAATACCTCACATCTTTGTGTATCTTCTTATGAAGTCTTCAATGTAGAAATATAGAGCATTTAACTGTTCTAGAAACATCAGTTATTCTTTTTGTCCTTTTTCATTTGTGGTTCTTGCTAATTCAAGGAGGCCAGGGAGAGTTAAGCAGATAATTAAAATAAAATCATGTCAGCTGAAGCAAAGAACTACTGAAATTTAAAATCTGATCCAGCTGCCAGAGCTGGAGTTGTTCAAACTGACATTTCTCCTGTCACATAACAACACAGTTAGTTTTAAACCAGCACAGCATCAACTTTGGGTCTACTCACACAGTGACAGAAATATAATGTGACATCCCCAAAGAAAGCAATGAAGGCCTGAAACCAAGCAAAAATTATTCCATATTCAGTGTGACCTTTTCTTTACCAAAATACATAGAACCTTCCTTAACAAGCTGATTTATTTTTTTTTTCTTTTAAAGAGTGCTAGTGGATGGAGGCGGGGGGCAGAGAAAGAAACACAAGGTCATTGACAAATCCCCCTTTTCCTCCCTATTGAACACAAACAAGTCTCCCTCCCAGAAAAAAAAAAAAAAAAAAGGAAATCACTGCCAGTGCAAACAGATGATATGGTGACTAACACTGAAGTAACTTCTGCCTGAACTTCCTAAATGAAGAAAGGAGGCCAAAGAGAAAAATAAGAATAGATAAAAATTAGACAGAACTTGAGCACAGAGAAATGTATCTGCATATAAAGAAGCACAGTTAAATCAGTCTAATTTTTGTTCCTATCTGTTAGGAAACAGATCATTAAAATCCATTCAGATCTAGACTTACTAAAGCAATACCAATATGTTCCTTATCTGCAAAAGCTTATTTCAGAAAACTTATTGCAACTGACAATACGATAGGCAAGATGATTTGAGATGGAAAAAGGCAACTAGAGTAGTGTATAGGGAAAATAAAACAAACAGAACGATCTTAGTATGGTTTCCTTCCCTAAACTGTAACGGTATTTTTTGAAATCAATGACAAAACCAAAACTTGAGAGGAGAGGGGAAAAAAACAAAACAAAAAAAAAGTCCTGAAGCTTGTGCCACTGTCACCAGGTGTGAACTTTTAACACGTTTTTGTTGACTGCAATTGTAATGCTGAGAACTACCTTCCATCTACAAGAGAAAGATTAATCAGGAAAGCAGCCATTTGGGTAGGTGATTGTTCAGAAGCGATAGTGGCAGGAGGAGGAAGGTCACTACCAGGAATTTAGCGCAACCCTCACGGAACATCAAAACACAAAACGGCAGAGATCATACTTGCACATTGTCAGACTGAACTCCTGTAAAATCCAGTCCAAGGAGCTTTTCTCCTTCATCACCCATTGAGTGTTTAAAAAGGAAATGGCTACTTGAAACAAAACAATCAAAAAAAAAAAAACCACCTTCACTTTGTCTTATCTGTTCAATCTGTTTACCCTATGGACTCAACTGCAATGGAAATGCCTTGATGTGAGACTCTTAAAAGCTTGAAAGGGAAGAAAGAGAAATTGAGTGCACCACAGAATCCTTCCTGAGCACTCCAATCTTTCCATTCTTTGATAGGAATTACCTTAATGATCCCGTACATTGATTTCTGGTGAATTAGTGCAATTCTATGCAGAACAGCACGTAGCTGTACATAACCACACAGCACTGCAAAGTATCAATCTCTGAAGAACACGGCTGTAATGAGAGCAGTGCATGCTTTATAGAACTTGTTGCAAAATAAATAAATATTGCACAGAAAAAATACACCCTTAAATTAAAATCAAAAAGACATTTAAAGTTTGGGCATTCTTCATTACAGGAAAGAATCTTCCACCCTGAGGCCATTATCCATCAGAAGAGCTCCATCAGTGTATAATTATTTCTGATAAATGATATTAAGCTTCATTAAAGAGGTAGTGAGGATGTGAGAGAAGACAGAGAGAGCTCAAGCTGTACATAAATCTCTCCACTGTATTTCACTTAAAATCACCCCAGCAGGAAGTCATAAAGAATTTTTTTATAGGTAATATTTTCAAATGCTCTGCAGGCTGTGCTGCCTAATATCCATCACCTTGAGTGTATGTTCACAAGCACAGCGCAATCCAGGATGAAGGACATTATTTTATTTCCCTCCCTCTTTCCCATCCCTGTAATCACCTTCCCACTTACCCCCAAGTCCTTCTCAGCCACAACAGAATCACCTGAACACAATCTAATTCATCACTCAACACATTTTCATAAAACCTGACCCAGTAAGCACTGGAGAAGCAACCTCTGCTGCCAAATAGTAGATCTTGGCTCATAAGCCAGCAAAGGTGCTGAGCCCCACTGCCCTGTGAAAATTCAAATGTGTTGCTGAAGCACAACATTTTACTGAAAGGACAAAATAAGGCTTTGTTTTTACAGCATACTGCAAGTTTCCCCTGAAGAAGCGCTGGACAGAAGGAAGAGATGGGTGGTCAGCAGCAACTGTACATGTGAAGGAGAGACAAGAGTTACATGGCAAATTACTCGTATTACAAATAACTTATATCAGAAAGGTCAGCTTAAACAACACAAAGTGCCTATTACTTTGGGCTCTATTTCTGAAAATATTCCCATATACAGGTTGAAAACCATAATTTTAAATTAAACATTTTATTTTAAGTCTAATAGACAACTACAATCCCAAAATAACACTTCCTGCTTTGTCCACAGCCATGCTGCACAAGTAAAAACAACATAAATGTGAAGTCTACCTACCTGTAAACAGAATAAATATTTGGGGAATTCGGTTAAAACCATCCTATACAAACAGTGAAGACAACTGAAAGCAAATGTGCCATATCAAAGATCTCTCAGTCCTACTGCTTTGTCAGCGTTCTTATTTCCAGCAGAGAAATAACAGCAGCTCTAGTTTAGTCTAGCATACTAAATGAGTATGTTTTTCTTGCAATGCACACATCTATCTACTGGCCACAATGTACAAGCAAACTCAGCTCAAGAAGGATTCCCTCCCTCCATAAAAAATCATTTTAAAATGAAGCTACAGTTTGAGCAAGATTAAACTACAAATGATACATTTAAGCTTAAGTTGTTAGAATGCAGATTTTAAAACTCAATATATTATATACAGGTTGAACTCATAAGTTTAGTATAAGGATGATTTTATCACACTGTGTGTTGGTTAATTTTTAACATCTTAGTTTAGCTTAAGGCTAATTTAGCCTGAAACAGCACAATAAAGACCATAAAATAAGAGACAGATTACCACATGAAGCTTAGTTATCTAAGTGACCTAGCAGGAATCTAGACAAACATGCATTACAGTCAGTGCTATTTGCAATTGCAAGGATCAAAAACCACTAAAAATGTTTTAAAGCCAAAATTTACAAGATACTGCTGTTTATCCTAGAACATGTATATTAATTTACTACCAATGTGAGAAAGAATTTCTCAAAATAAGAGTACCTCAAAACCATAATTAAATTGCATGCTGCAGTTCAGACAGCTGTAGAAGTTAGAAACTCCTGTGACCCCTTTTAATTTGCTCTTCTATTAAAACCAACAGTTTTGCATTTCGTGAATCACTTCTAACCTCTCCCTTTGCTCTCAAAGAAGCAAAGGGTCTCAAAGGGTCCTTCTTTACTTTCAGAAAGAAGTCTGTGAAACCTAAAATGGAGAACAAAGCAAAACATTTATGCCTCCCTTGCTCTCACTGAGGACTTGTGCACTTACATTCCTCTTTGCTCGGTGAAGTTACATTCAGTTCTGTCAAAAGTTGCTGGTTGGAGTTAGCGGCCTGCGTGGTTAGAGAGGTATTGCTGTTGTCACTGTTCGTTTCTCCAGAGAACAAATCTGTCTGGCTGTTGCTTGTGCTGGGAGTAGAGTCATCATCTGGCTGCTTCTTCTGGAAATCTATCAAAACCAAGATCCATGTCATCTCAATTGCTCAACCTATTCAATTTTGTACAAAAAGTATCATAATGAAAACAACCCCCAAAGACTGTCAGAGGCATCATCATCCTGACAGTTTTTAAATATCATAACACAAAGTTAGAGTAGCTTTTCATTATTTCAAAGTATCTTAAGATTTATTTAATGCTAAAGAACCACCACCAATTTCAGAACTATACAAAGTTCTTGTTTTTACATCTGTTCAAGAGCATCCAATGCTTAATACTGCATGTATCAGAATATACCACACGGTGGTATCATGTTAATAACTGCTTGCACAAAGCACTTATAACAGCATAAAGGAGCAAACATCTGACTGAGGAAGAACTAATGTATGCAGTACAAGGAAACGTTAGAATTCTCTAAAAACAATACTTCTCTACTTCTCACTGCCATTACCTAAAACCCCGCCAGTGTAGCAGCTCTGGAAAAGCTCGTGTAGACAACTGTGGTTCCAGGTTAGCATGTGGGAGCTGGGTTTTGCATCACTTGTTTAGTGGTTATGTTATTTTCTTAATCTTTTCTTCACTTACCAAACTATCTTTATCTTGGCCCGCAAGTTTTCTTGCTGTTGCTTTTTCCTGTCTCTGCCCTGTCCCCTGGGAGCGTGCAATTGACTGTGTGGGTCTTCACTGCCAGCCAGGATCAGCTCACCACAGCATGGCTGCAGACACCACATGCTCCAGCCTTGCTTAAGAAGGCAGGTATGAAGTCTGCAAGGGGCACCTTAGAGCTGTATTTTACACTGTGCCTATCCCATTATGCCCATCCCTGAGCTAGCAGTGACCACCCAGGGACGCTTTAGAAGCTTAGGTACCAATGAAGGCAGTCCTCTGAAAGGAAAATGGTTTCTCTTTACAATATTCCCTTTAATATTTAACCAGCCTGCCATTTGACATTTCTGAAAACACCTAAACCATACTCTTAGATGTTCACTCAAAGACCATGCATCATCATAATGAATAGCATATCTACTTTTTTTCCTTTCAAACTGTGGCTTTCAATAATTTAAAAACACTTAGAAAAACATTATTCTACATAGTCCACAAAAAAATTGAGAAGTTAAGGCATTGTGATGTTGGCTTTTTGTTAAATTGTGCAGTAAGCTGTCTGAAAGAGAAAATCCTTTATGTTTACAGTTTCCATTAAAACAACAGAAAAGTAAAATTTCTTAGCGTGTAGGAAACGTTGTAATTTTTAACCTTCCACTTTGTCATATTTGCTTTTAATATTAAACACAAAGTTATTTATGCAAAGCAATTCTCTCCTACATACTTAACTTCAAACTAGAACCAAAAATGAAATAATAATGCTTCACACTCCAGTTGAGTAATAAAATACACTGTTATCACAACATTATGACAATGAAAAAAAAAAAGAACGGAGTCCTATGAGCACACAATGAAATCTTAAACTATTGTAGCAGCAAGTTTAGGAAAAAAAAAAGTATATGTATACCAACCAGAGGACAAAGCTCTTTCCCAGGTTCCCATTCAGGCCACATTAACTTCTATTTTCACCTGACTTGCCCATCTCTTACCTCTGTATGCTTCAGTCTACCTGTGGTATCTTCTTCCTTTTGTGCCTACACTGCCTTAAGTTCTTTTTCCATGGTCTGACTGAAATGAATCTGGGAATATTTAAGCAATCTCATCCCCCTTGGGGATCCTCTCTTACCTTTCTGTACCTACCAAGATATAACCCAGTTGATTGGGGGGGGGGGGGGGGGAGAGGGATAATAAATAAAAACCAGAAAAAAGACAACTATTTTGCAACACTTAAGCCAATGCATGTTTTGCAGCAGACCTTAACTATTTGCAAACATGATTGGCAAACTAATACATTTCACCAGTTTTCTGACAATAATTTCAATAGTTTAAAACACACTTCAAATGCATCAGACAATAAAGCTCCCTCTGCTAGTCAAATCAGAGGGTAGGTTTTCTAGGAGTCCTGCCACAAGGGTGCCAAGACATTTATTTTACCTCAACAGGCAAGATTAACAAAGCCACCATCAGTAGTGGTTAGGACGCCTTGGGCTGGCTGAGGCAGCTGCCTCTCTCCCCTTCCCAACTCCCTCCTCCTGCAGTGCCCAACCAAGTGGAGAACCGAGCTGTGGAGGGGACAGCATTGAACCAGATGAGGAAATAAAACCACCTCAGAAGACGGCAGCAACAAAAGCCAGCCAACACACCTACATCAAGGCACTATGGATCCACCAGTTGAACACCACTGCCAACTCCAATGCTGGCGTTAGATTGACCTACGTCCATGGAGTGTGGTTCAGGAGGTAAATCCCTCCAGGACATTGAAACTACATACAGCTGATTTGGCTTCAAAGTTTTCCTTTTCTTCTTGTCAGCAAGTGCCAAGTCTCAGAACTGCCCCCACAGTCCGACCTCCACACGTTGGATAGATCCCATCCTCAGGCCTACCCTGGCTCCAAACCAGATTAGCGTTTGAGCTGAAGTCTTTCCAAGTGCTAAGCTTCTCTTGAGGGCTTTCCAAAACCCACAGTCCTGATACTTGATTAGCAATAGCGTTGGTCTCAGATCCTACCCGCTACACCACTGATTTGTCTGACACAGCTCTGCCCTCGGACACCCTCCAAGAACACCCCTCCCAGCCAAGCGGATTTTGGTGTGCTTGACATCCAGTTATTCCCACAACACGAGACATCTCTTCCTCGTAAAGATTGCTGAAGATGACTGCATCATCTCCTGGCATTCCTAACACATTTTTTTTTTTAAAGAAGAAATAAAAAAGGCAGAATTTATTTATTATGCAAATACACATACATCAATAAAGGTTGCTCGTTATGTCATGACAGAAAAAAGCAGAGTGGTCCACAAATATTTGCAGATGATGAAATGCTGGTTGCCAACATGACTCACTGGGACTGGGAAGCACTGCAGTCCAACAGTCCTTAATTGCTGACTTAGGATTTAAAAGTAATTTGCCAGAGAAATGAAGCTGTAACTTCTGCTGTGGAAGACTCAGCCAGAAGCCAAGCTTGGATAGGAAAGAGCTCAAAGCCAAGGAGGAGGGGGGAGGAGGCAGACAGGAATTCATCTGCCTCAACAACAAAATCTCAACAACTGGTGGGATGCAGTTTGTCGATGCAGTTTGTAGGGAAGATGCCCTACTCGGGCCTCACTTATTACCACAGTTTCATGCAAGCCAGGCTCCTGAATATCAGTAGTGTTCTTGCAATCAAGAAAGATTCAAGCATGTGGGATTCTGCACCAGACATGAGCTGACAACTACAGCAATGAGACCTGGAACTACGAGTTTAGGAGATCCCCAACTCTTCACACCTATACTGAGGCCACAGTGTGGGCAAGGGGGAGCTCACAGCCGGAGACATCCTGGGAATCACTGGGCTACAAATAACCTGTCTAGAAAATAAATGAAAAGTGCACGTTGCCTGCAAAGGTGGCCACAGGGAGTGTTTTATGTGAGACTGCACCCAAGGCAGGGCACAAAAGTGAAGCCGTATTATGTACGTGTATCAGAAATAGGAGCACTTCCATTTCCAATGAGCTGAACAAGCAAATGGTTCCACTCAATATTATACACTGTGAGCTATCTACAAAATCCATTAAAAAAACGAGTGCAGAGTTGCAGAACAACAATAGATACCATGGAGTTTATTAAAATTCAGCAAGTTAAAAATTCTCAGCCACTGTATTTTTTTTTCCCTAGATAACATGCAAATAATTCGGTTGGACTAGCTCAGTGTCATCCACAAAGGGCATTTTCAGATGAATGTAAAACATTTTTTAAGGAAATGGTCTAAATAACAAAAGTCCTGACAGTTGCTCAGTGACAGAATGGTAGATGCTAATGCTATGCAGTACCTCCCAAAGCTGTACATTTAAGATGTGCATAAACCAAGCTGATTTTTTTCTGAAGAACTATTCATATTTGCAACCTATTGATAAATTCTCCAACTTAAAAGAGAGCACAAAAGGCTGTGAAAAATCCTCGCTCAGTGTTTGTGTTTCACAACAAGCTTCCAAATGACATTGTCTGATTTGCCACACAGCAGCAAAATCCACCACAGCATCTGCATCCTTTCTGCCTTTATGGTGTATCCAGAACAAGTTTTTATTCAGTCTGCAGATCAATTACCTTTCAAAAAAGTCTTACCCTGCTCAGTTGGCTGGAACCTGGGAACATCTCCTGTCCATCCTTTTACTTTTTCATTGCAGAAGAGAGTACTTGAGGAAAAGACTGAAACTGGTGTACCCTGAGACACACTAACTGTAACTCAACCTGTATTACTTACACACACTGGTTTATTACTAAATATTTCCATCTTACTTCAAATTGCATTACTGAGGCAACTTGCAGTAATGTCAACAGCAATACAAAACCCATTCAGGAATATAATCTATATTATAAATTTGACCTAAATTATCAACAGATTTCTGAAATACCGCTTTCTGATTTGTGGCCCAATATTTTATTTTTGCAAATATGTATCTAACAATATATTGGAATGAGCTGTATTATACTGTTTCTCTGCTTTGGTGGACTCCATTCAGCCTTTTTTTTTTTTTTTTTTTTTTTTTTTTTTTAACCAGGACACCTGTTAACACAAATAACTTGCAGACCACCTTGATCTCCCTCAAACACAATAAAAGCTGGCAACAATTACCGGAGCAATTGTGTCTGAATGGATCCAGTTAAGCCTTAACTGCTTAACAAATAAAACAAAACAGAAATACATGCACAATCCAGGCAAGATCCTGGCAAGTTTTGAAGGGGAGGCTTTACTCTGATTAAAATCAGAACATAACTATTGACAGAACAATGACCTCCCTAACAGACTCAATGTGGGGGGAAAAAACAAACCAGAACAAGAGCTGGCAAGGAATTTATCATTCCCAGAAGTTTCTGTTTAACCACAGAAGCATGCAAAAACACCTTCATTAACTTGTCTCCTCCATTTTTAC